AAACCATGTTCCCATTCTTAACCTAGCTTGAACAGCTTTTAGCGCCACTGAGGAACTTACATTTTTGAAGATGGGGAAACATTATCTTTAAAATATGCAGGTTTATCTGGACTTTAGAAAATGGGGTTCTAAGTGAAACTCAGGCATATTCATTAAAACAGGGAAGGATAAGAGAAGATTTATTTTTTGTTAGGCTCTTGTCTTCATACCAATAGGTTGTTCTATGAGCTTTCCATAAAAAATATCTTTCTTTGTCTTGCTGTTACCAACTGAATAATCAATAATTAAAAATAGATCTTTGTTATAACTGCAATAGTGTTCTTTGAAAGGAGAAAACAGACGGACTGTTTTTCAGCATCAAAAACCTTTACATCCTACTGACATGTAAAAGTCCATGTCAGTAGGATGAAAGAAATTTAGGTTGTGGAACTGTTTCTCTTGAATACAATAAAGATTTGAAATATGAGGACATTTTGAATAAAAATCGAATATTCTTCACTAATAAAGCACACAATTTACATAGAAAACTGGAGACAAAAGCTTTCTCCTTAAATGGTCACTCTTAAGCACAGGGGGAGTTTGATGAGGATGTGGGCCTATCTCTTCTGAAACCCTTTTTAGAGTGAATATGGCCTCATTATCACTTTGATGCCACATATGATTTACCAGCACTGGTAAGAATAAGTATAATTCACATGACTCTAACAGGAGTTTTCCTTCAATGAATACGTATTTTGTTTTTCAGTATGGGATTAGATTACTAGTTTAACAGATTTACTTGCAGACTACACACCCACTAAAAGGATCATACTTGTACTTTTTCTTCAAGTTAAGTATTTAGGAGGTAGAGACAATAAATGTTGATTGGAAAATAACTGAAAAAGTGACTAGGATATTTCACAACCTTGGTAAGAAAACTGCTTCAGACTCAGGAAATGCTAAACTAACAGCATTATGCCGAAAGAATGCCGGAAATGCAAAACGAAAAGTTCAACCAGCAGAGCTGGCATTAGATTAAGCCGGGCATACAATGTTCGATTTTTTTGAACTTTTCGGACAGATTCTCCAGTCGTGCGAGAATTCTTTTCGATAGGGCTGATAATGCGTCAGGCCTTGTTTAGTGTACAGGGGGTAACGAGGGCCGATAAGCCTCTCGCAACCACCTCCTGATCAGGAATCGTAAGGTCGGGAGAAAATCAGACATGTTTGAAATTCAGTCGGCCTTTGTGAGGTGTTCACGGACAAATCCTGCCGTTTAAGCAGAGCTAAGAGCCGATTTATCAGAACTTTAAGCACTGCACATGCACAAACAAGGGAGTTCTTCTTCCAGATTGACAAGTCCCGACCAGCGGCATCTCTCTGTGCTGAGTCTGACGTGTGGTTTTTAGTCATGCAGTGCGAGCAGGTGGATCGCATCAGAGCGTTGGGTCACACAGTGTGAACTGTTTCATCGTACAGTTTGAGTTGTAGCTGCGTGCAACGATTGAAAATATGGCACAGTGTATGCCCGGCTTTAGGTGTAAATCAGAGTATGGATGTATGTATCAAAGTAGACTAAATGCTGAAACTGATTTAAACAGTTTAATTCAATCAGGGTTATGTTACATGTAATGAAGAAATCTGGAAATATTATCTTTTTATGTAAGTAACATAAAAAGATGTGTGCGCTTTTCTTAGGTAAAGTAAATTAGCTTGAGCAACTAGTATCAAATTGTTACTTTGATGAGGTCTAGCAACACATTAAAACAACATAAGGTGGTGCACAGGTGTAGAATGTGGACTGAAATAGCAAAAGTTTAATTGAAAATATATCCTAAATAAAAATAAAAGAACGAATTTACTGAAACACCATATCAGAAGGTATGGCATTAGCCAAATAAAATACCCTGCATTACCTTGAGGTCCAGCGTTCTGCACTTTTTCGTTGCATCCCTGGTCCAACACACCTGGATCAAATTGCTGAATTACGTCCTCATTTTAAGGTTCTAATGAGTCTTGCTTATGACCTGATTATTTGACTTAAGTGTGTTGAAGCAGAGACACAGCCAACAGCTGCAGGACACCAGACATTGAGGACTTTAAGTCAAGAACAATGTGCAGGAGTCTGTTTGGTAATAATTGTCTAGAGGATGTGTTTGGTCTCATTTAACTCACAAAACTGGGCTTCCTGGAGCCAAGTAGGGGTGATGTTTCCTCGAAAAAGAACTGGTTCTGCTCTGGGCAGTTTTTTAGGCTGTTTATGGGTAAGGTAGGCACTGCCAGAATTAAAATAAAACTAGAGATTTTTGGTAGAAATTGCCTGAAATTCCCACAAAGAATCTTAGGGAAGATAAAATTAAGTTTAAGTATAAAACAAAATCTGGTATAAGATAAAGATAGCATTGCTGCGGAGCGGTTAGACCTCTCCAAAGTGCACTCCGCAGTTAGTGCTCTCCAGCTGCTGAAGCACTGCGGGCAAGAGGACTTAAAGGACGGCGTGAGTGACGCACCGCTTGGGTGCGAGTGTTGACGAGAAAAGGGGAAGTGACAGTAGACAGTTGCTGCACACTGCGACAAGCTGGCGGTGTCACACCTGGCAGCTTTCAATCACCACGCTGGTGCAGGAAAGAAACCCCACCTCGCTTCGCTGATATCGCTGGGGCCCCCGCCAAAGCACTCCTTGAGTGGTGTCATCCATCCGGCTAGGGTATGGAAAGCACAAGCTTGCGCAGTAGCCCTGTCACTGCAAGTTATTCAGAGGCAGAGGAAGAAGAAGGAAGAAGAAATGAGAGAGGGGAAAGAGAGAGGGGAGGGAAGCATTCGTCTATTTACATATGGAAAGGTCACAAATAGCCTGCAGGCATTGTGCTAATTAGAGAATGTGGCGAAAAAAACTCCAAAGATAAATTAAAAGACAAAACAGGAGAGTTATCTAAGTGTACTGGCTTAATGAAGGTGGAGATGAGGTGAATGAAAGGAGAAGGAAAGTGGGCAAAACCCATAAAAAGGAAACTCAAAGAGTACAAGTTTCTTTGAATACAGTTTTTCCAAGTTTCCAGTGTAAGTTGGAACGCCCGTAGGTGATCGTCATCAAGGGAAGGTGGTCGCCCACCTCAAATGTTCCTGTGGATTCACTTCTGTACTGTGGTTGTACCACAGGCCTCCACCAGCAGACGTTGACCATATGATGGTGTTCAGATGACCGGGCGTGGATGATCTCCCTTAGCCGGATAATCGAATCAACCTTTATAATTCATTGTGACAAGCTGACAGGGAAAATGAGTGTAAAATTTTATACTTACATAAATTTTTGTGTCAGATCACCGTCTGTGCACTTGTTTATCCGCCCGGCCATAGCCGAGGGCCTCTTCTCCGTGGGCGCTCCATGGACTCTGTTTCCAGGCCTTCAGACACATCGTCCTTCGCCCTAGTGAATTTGTTGATTAATTTCTGATGCTTCCCTTAATTAACACCCCCAAAGCAGAAAGTAGATTTCCTAACCCAGCTTTGTTGCAGAACAGGCAAAAAAAAAAGAGGCAGAGTCTAAAGAAAGATGACCTCAGGGAGACAGACGTTACGATGTCCAAAATGACATTACAGGAGCAACGTGACACCAGGCCAGGACCTGGACCTGGGCGATGCCTCGGGAGCTCCCAGGCCTTTTAATCAGTGGCTGGAAACGAGCTCCCTATTAGTCTCATTTCATTTGCTTTAGCTTCGGCGAGGATGCAGGATACACATGATGCCACCCGACGCCTGAAACATGCTGCGCCTGTGCCAGTGCCGGTGCTGCCTCCGGCCCACGGTCATTAATTGATGCCACTCTCTTACTTCCAGTGAAATTGGCAGATGACAGGCAGGGGCAAAAAGAAAATGTGATTTCTTCCTCCTTTTTTTTTTTGTTCTTCCCACCATCAGAGTGGATCTCACTAATTGGGTTGAATGGCGCCCATCTCGTCTTGTGACAGCCAAGGAAGATGCATGAGAAGCTGTGGGCAGCTTGGAGAGCTCTCACCCTGCCATGCCAGAATCAGAAGGCACGCTGGCAGGAGGGGGGTGAAAGTTGCAAAAGACACGCTGAGACAAAAGAGCAGAGCTAGGGATGGGGCGCTCACTTTTCAAGAACCTTGAAAAAACAAACTTGCACTTTGTATCGCTGAGGGCAAGAAGATTAGTCCTTCATTCTTTTAACCAAAGGCCAATCAATGCATCAGTTTTTGGGAAAGCATCAATTGTGAGAAGTAGTAGTAGTAAACTAATATTATAGAAGAGCATTTTTGGCTATTTAAAGCTCTTTATAATTCTGGGTTTGTGCAAAATCTTCAAAAGCATTTGATTGAAGTTTTCAGTTGTGGTGTTGTCCGTTCATTGGACAATTTAATCCTCAGTATGTCCATCTAATTTTGGATTTACTGTCTCTCTCTCCTTCCTTCTTCCAAGAGCCACCCATCCTTACACAGTCCATCCTCCATATATTTATCCATGTATTAATTTTTTTGTTCAAACATCGTCCATTTAGCAGTTTCATCAACTTTGAGGCTTGATTTTTTTCCCATCGTATCTTGTAAATCTTCCTGAAGGTGTAGGAAATTCACAAAAAACTAAATTGCACAGATAGATACCTGAAAACAGACCAATTTCCAAAATGCCTAACCAATACAGTGTCCAATTAGGTCCATTAAGGGTACATCTGATCCGCACGCCTCAGGTAAAAACAGACATGGATGTTTGAGCGGGGTCGTCTCAGCATCACTGCCGGACAATCGTCCACTTTGTGTTTGCCAAGATTCAGAGAGCAGAGGGGGAAAATCAGGAATTCCTGTCACAAAAGGACAAGAAGTGCAGGTGTAATTGGGATATTTGGGAGTGTTTAGTTTCTGGCCCCATCCGAGAAGCACCGTAAGATTAGAGTGGTGAAAACATACCTCTACCCTCCTCATGTTCTCATTAACTTCATTTATTTCCTAGTTTCTACTTCTCTGTTTCAGCACGTTTTAGCATTTATTCTTCTTTTTTCACAGGACGTTGACACTCACCTGCCCCCCCTATTCCCTCTCCCCGCCAATGATAGCAGCTTGATCGGGCAGGTATAGGTAACAAATGAGATCAATTAACGTGTCCAAGAGGGGCACCTACCGGAGAGTCCGGTTACACTAAACGATCTCCTCATCTTTTGTTTCCCTCCGTAGGAATCCATTTGCAACCTCATCACTTTCCCCCCGGCCTGAACAACGGCGCCGATTGTTCAAACCACCCGTCTAATGGAGAAGGCCCAAGAAAACCTGGCCTCTTACCCCCTGGCTGCCTGTGTATCTTTTCTATCGGGTCTACGACTTGAGACGGAGGGCAGACCTCTGCAAAGTAAACCCCCTCCCGATTGTCACCTCCCTCTCTCTGCTCCCAGGACATCAACAGGCTCCATTTGTAGCAAATTTGTTCCCCAAGCTTTCTTTAATTGACCGACTTTGGCACTAACAAGGAGCTGATTGAGCTCAATAAAAACACTGTCTGCTTACGAGAGGTCCGTTCCCCACCTTGGAAGTCAACCGGTAGCTTTGCAGTAACTGTCTTTATCATTTTCAGATGAAGCATTTTTTCTCTTTGGTTTGATGGAGCAGCTTTCTAACAGAGTTGAGGGTTTGCAGGTAATGGAAGAAAAAAAAGAGGGAACAGAAAGAGAGGCAATTATTCTGAGTTAGTGAGAAGGGGCTGCCATCGATGGCCGTGGCTGAACCTGGCTTTTCTTTATATCTGCTTGATGAATGTGATGCTTGGCCACCACAATTAGACAAGATTGTTTACTATATAACCTTATAATCAACCTGGCTTGGTTGACAGCTCACCATTACCCCCTGATAACATGTCTGCCACAATCTGGGCCCAGAGTGAAAATATACACTATATTGCCAAAAGTATTTGCTCACCTGCCTTGACTCACATATGAGCTTAAGTGACATCCCGTTCCTAATCCATAGGGTTCAATATGACGTCGGTCCACCCTTTGCAGCTAGAACAGCTTCAACTCTTCTGGGAAGGCTGTCCACAAGGTTTAGGAGTGTGTTTATGGGAATTTTTGACCATTCTTCCAGAAGCGCATTTGTGAGGTCGCACACTGATGTTGGACGAGAAGGCCTGGCTCTCAGTCTCCGCTCTAATTCATCCCAAAGGTGTTCTATCGGGTTGAGGTCAGGACTCTGTGCAGGCCAGTCAAGTTCATCCACACCAGACTCTGTCATCCATGTCTTTATGGACCTTGCTTTGTGCACTGGTGCACAGTCATGTTGGAAGAGGAAGGGGCCAGCTCCAAACTGTTCCCACAAAGTTGGGAGCATGGAATTGTCCAAAATGTCTTGGTATGCTGAAGCATTCAGAGTTCCTTTCACTGGAACTAAGGGGCCAAGCCCAGCTCCTGAAAAACAACCCCACACCATAATCCCCCCTCCACCAAACTTTACACTTGGCACAATGCAGTCAGACAAGTACCGTTCTCCTGGCAACCGCCAAACCCAGACCCGTCCATCAGATTGCCAGATGGAGAAGCGCGATTCGTCACTCCAGAGAACGCGTCTCCACTGCTCTAGAGTCCAGTGGCGGCGTGCTTTACACCACCGCATCCGACGCTTTGCATTGCACTTGGTGATGTATGGCTTGGATGCAGCTGCTCGACCATGGAAACCCATTCCATGAAGCTCTCTGCGCACTGTTCTTGAGCTAATCTGAAGGCCACATGAAGTTTGGAGGTCTGTAGTGATTGACTCTGCAGAAAGTTGGCGACCTCTTCGCACTATGCGCGTCAGCATCCGCTGACCCCGCTCCGTCAGTTTACGTGGCCTACCACTTCGTGGCTGAGTTGCTGTCGTTCCCAAACACTTCCATTTTCTTATAATACAGCTGACAGTTGACTGTGGAATATTTAGGAGCGAGGAAATTTCACGACTGGATTTGTTGCACAGGTGGCATCCTATCACAGTTCCACGCTGGAATTCACTGAGCTCCTGAGAGCGACCCATTCTTTCACAAATGTTTGTAAAAACAGTCTGCATGCCTAGGTGCTTGAATTTATACACCTGTGGCCATGGAAGTGATTGGAACACCTGATTCCAATAATTTGGATGGGTGAGCAAATACTTTTGGCAATATAGTGTATATTTAAAGGGAAAAAAACGGAGAAGCTTCTCCGGCTATTTTTGATGCTTTATTGATGGAGCGCCGGCCCTGTTATCTTTGTGCGTAATTTGTTTTCAAGAACTGTGATTTACATTTCATTGGGATTACACCTTTTAAAGCTACACATGGTTGAGAAGTGGGCAGCCGGTGAATACTCTACATCCCCAACCAGAAGAGCGAGGAGGAGGAGGCGGCGGCAGTGACGGTGTTGGTGGGGGGGTTCAAACGATTTCCAAGTCCTCAAGTGGAGAGGATTACAATTAAAATTAAAAATCAAAAGCCCTGCGTGTCCATCAAACGACTGCCCATAACCCCTTTGTATACCTACTGCCAAATAATGGCAGCTAGTGGAAGGGTTGGCAGATGCAAAACGCTTTCCGGCTTAATTGTGGCGTATTACCGGAGCTTGTTCATCGGGGATATTATGCAATGAGTGTTATTTTAGGCAAGATCGCGGGTTCCTAAATGGCATGCTAATTTGAGCCGCTTGGCAGCACGCTAAAGAAAATCCATGCAACACCATTAAAAACAACAGCGGGGGCCAGTGGCAAAGTTCAATCATCTTGTTTTGGATACAGGCCTTGATATAGGGCGTAAAAGTTCAGCTCTGACTCCAGCTGCTGCACAGGTAGAAAACAGAGCTGGAATATGCAAGGTTGATATGAAAAAAATAAAATAAAATAAAGAATGTCTGTTAAAGAACGGCTGAGCCAGAAAGTTTTCATTTAAAATGTTATAAATATGCACAAAACTTCTGTTTGTATGAGTGTTTTTATCTGCAAATCAGATTTTAAACTTTTAAAGTATTTATTGACAGAGGGAAAAATGTATTTCAATGTTATATAATTAAAGATTTTATATGATTAAGTGGATCCAATTTATATACTGGTGCATTAAAATTCAATTGAATATGTCTGGATTTAGTCTTTATTACAATATACTGCAGCCAGATTATGTTTATAAGACCAATTAGGACTTATATTCAAGGAAGAAGACCTTTACTATGATTCTGTCTGCCAATATTAGCAAAAATATCTAAAGCTGGGAAAAAATCAGACCAGTGTGACTGTTTGAACTGTGAATCAGTTGTTTTTTTAGCTCTGCAATTAAAATAAACTCTATATTTCTGGGGTTTTTTAAGCTTTTAAATCAGATCATAACCATCAAAACAAAATACTGAACTCTTATAATACAATTAGCAACATTGCGAGCAGAACAATTGACTGTAAATAAAAAAAAAAATCTGTTTTTCAAATTATTATAAGGGAAAAGCTATAGAAATGAACAACTAATTTTATCAAAATAAGAAAGTAAATGGAAATTAAAAAGGAGGATACATTCCAAGTTCTTTGGTTTTAAATGAGATAAATTCACAAGTACTGTATTTAAATGGTGCCTTCTTTTGTTTTGACAAGTCATTTCTAGTCAAGAAAGACTATTTTAAAAGTTTTCAACAATCTGATTGATTTACAGTCAACTATTAGTTATAAAAAACTTTGGTTATGGTGAATTTATAGAAACTGCGTATATTTAAAAAAAAAAACAACACTGGTGCTTTTTTCCATACATGTGTTCAAACTAAAGCAGATTTTTTACTTTTATTTTATATAATCCTGTATAGTAATACATGTATTCATTTTAGAAGAGTTGCTTTTATTTTGGAGGGTATTTTACCCCAGAAACTTAAAGTTTAGTGTCCTATTTTCCTCCTTTGCCTCCCTAACTCTACCAACACTCTGTGCAGCTCCAGCGACCCATCTCCCCTCCTCTTTAGTTTTCTACGCATCTTAATCATGTGCATTATTCCAGCAATCCAGATCACAACATTTTACATAATTCTTTGTTTATTCATTTTCTCTCCGAGTCAGTGAAATTATGTAAAACACGCTCCGCTAGTGTAATAGAATGCGTATTATTCCAACACGTTTGCTTTACTCCGAGGCAGAGTGTCCCACTTAAATGAAAATTACACTTAAATGTCACATGGGTTTATCTAAATTTATAAACAGTGCATTTATTATGTTAAATCTTTTTCGGTGGATCCTGAACTGGAGTGCTCGGAGGGAGGATGTGAGCTTCTTTCCTTAAGTTATAAACGCTTCCTTTTTTTTCTCTATTATTTTTGCTCTCTTTCTTTGAATTGACATGGCACCTGAAGAATTGCTCTTTCAATTTTTTTTCCCAAAGAAGCATCATTTGCGTTTGTCGAATTAATTCAATCATTAGCTGGCAGTTTGAAACCTGCAGCTCCTTGAAAGAAAGAAAAAAAAAAACATAATGTGTTTCCTGTCATTCACCCCTTTGGGCCCCCGTATTTCTTGTTGTTTTCTCTTTTTCTGATGGCCCCAGCAAATTATAACAGAAGAATCTTCATTCAGAGAGGTGGTACAAGTGAATGGGACAGCTATAGGAGAGAAAAGGAGCCCCCTCCATAACTGCTACCGTTTTTTTTTTTTAGAGTGGCAGAAAAAAAGGAGATTATAGGGGAGAGGCAAACGCATTTTACCTCATCAGTGCCCTTTGTGCGCCTTGAGTCAGCTCTCATAAAGAAGGATCTTTGAACTCAATCATCACAGCAAAATATACATCTTCCCTTTAAATATCCTTAAAAAAATTGAAATAAACCCTCCCTCCATTGGTACAGTGTAGGTTATATATTAGCAATATCCTGCTCATAGATACAGATGTTTGACTCAGTTTCTGCAGCAGTGGGGTCCATCTGTGTTTACAGTGAGCTGCTTAGTGAACGGCTGCACGAGGGGAGGCATATCAAGCATATGGACATTTTACAAAAGGTTACCCTGCATAAATTAGAAGGAATGGCAATCTGTTGAGGAGAAGGTGGCACACACACACACACAATGGGGTAATAAAAGGCATCTACTTTGACAACAAGAGGTGGGAAATTATACCTGAGCCACACAGGCGAGGCATCTTTACGATATTTTATACATTAAGTTATATTCTGAAGCTGGTATATAAATTTTTTTACCCAACCACAGCTCAATGATTGTTTTGAAAATTATTAAAATTATTAGAAATAACATTTTTTCCTCTTTAGTTATCTGTGTATATATATATTATTTTAAAAACAATAAATTGATAACTATATGTATAGATATTTTGCTTTTCTAAGGGGAAAACAAGGCAGACGATCTACTCAATAGGCTAAGCTTTTGTTTTTATCTCGGCTTAGACTGGCATCTAGTGGGCAATAATGGAATTACATGTCTGGCTTATTGCATAAGAAGAAATTAAATGAAAAACATGTGTATATACATATATGTTTCAATTTGTGCCTTCCCAGGTATACCTATTTAGACTAAGTTCCTTTATAGGTTAGAATCAGATTTTTTAGTTGTTTTTTTTTTTTTTAGATCTGATGAAGTGGGCAAAAATAAATTGCATATTTTCATGTTTTAATGTTTTTTCTACTGTTTAGAAGTTGAAATTTCTTTCATCATTGCTGTTTTGTGTCCTTGGTTATGTTCTCATGTTTTTCTCTAATTTCTTTTTGATGAAATTCTTTTTTATCTTTTCATCATAATGTCCAACCTTCCATCTATGTTTGGCCTTCTGGATTCTTTTCTCCTTCTATTTCTTCTTTCCTTCCCTCCTTTTCTTGTATGCTTCCTCCTCTCATTGTGTCCAACTTCCAGTGATTCCTCATTCTTCTTTTTTCCCTCTACCTATAATTTTGTTTCTTCTTGTCATGTG